AAACAAATGAATCAAAATGAATTTCAAATTAACTATTTATTTAAATTTAATTAATTATTTTTCCTAGTTTAATCTAATATTCTATAAATTCATTTCAAGTCATTCATTCTGAACAAAGGTTTTCTGGACAATGGAGTTCGCATGTCGCAGAAGAAAAACGTTGAAAAAATTAATTAATGGAAACCAACGACAAAATATTTTTTCTTCTCCAACAACTCCTGCTGCTACTGCTGCAACTCCTGACCCTTTTTATTATTTCAAATATAAACAACAATGACACTGATAAGATATAGAAGACAGCAAAAACATTATGATGTAAGACCAAACAACTACAACAACAACAACACAAACAACAAAACAAAACAACCAAACAAGAAAAGACAACCAACCAATCAAACATCACAAACAACAACACAAAATCACATACAACGTCGCATACAAACAAACAAACAAAAAACAAACAGACGAAGAAGAAAATGGGCGGGAAGAAAAGAATCATCATAACGATGATATAATGTGTGCATTTGAACTCTTCTTTATGTTCTTATTAGGCTTTGAAGTTTTGAAAATGTAACGACTAAAATGAAACCATCAAATATGTAATTGACTTTAATGTCTGCTAACATGTGCTTGTGTTGTGTGTACTGTGTGAGTGCGTCTGTGTATGACTCCTTGTGTGTGTGTACGTCTATGAGTGTGTCTGTGTGTGTCAATTTTATTTATTTGTTTGATTGTTTGTGTGTGTGTGTGTGTGTGTGTGGTGTGTGTGAATCTCTGTCCAGGCATGAAAGTACGATGACAATTTAAGTGCATCACTCCGTATGTTTATGCGTATACCTTTGCGTGTACATGTGTATGAAGTATGCGTACGTGTGTGTGTGTGTGTGTGTGTGTGTGTGTGTGTATGAGTGTGTGTGTGTGTGTGTGTTTGTGTACGCGTTCTACGTTAATGTCTGTGTGTATATACTAAATGTTTATGTGCACGTTCGTGAGCGAATTAGGATGTATTTGTTTATGTGCCGCTGAGTTCCGAGTGTTCGAGTCGGATAAAAATAAAATAAGTTATTATTATTATTATTATCGTTATTATTATTATTATTGTTGTTGTTGTTATTATTAATGTCGTTAATGTTTTTGTTGTTATTATTATTACTTTTTATTATTTCAACAGCCAACAACAACCGAGAAATATTAACCACAAAGCTAATAATTTTTTGACACCAAAGTATTAACAACAATAACAACTAAAATGAATAACCAGAATAACAAAAGAATAATAAGAAAATAATAAAAATAATAAAAATAATAATAAAACAGAAAAACAAACACCAAGCAACAAGCAAACAATAAGAACAACAACAATAAACTTAAGTTTCTGAGAAGAGCTGAGTGGAGTAATAAAGAGGTCTACCAGCATTATGGTGGTTGAGTGTCGAATGAATGTTCATGTGCTGGCATTTATTTTTTAATAAACGGACGCTTGAAATAAAACGTCAAGACACACGTCACAGAGAACAACAATAACAACAACATCAACAACAAAACAATAACAATATCAACATCAACATCAGCAACATCATCAACATCAACAACAACATTACATCAACAACAACATCATCAACATCGACAACAACATCAACATCAGCAACAACAGCAACAACAACAACAACATCAACAACAACATCAACAAAAGCGCCGTTAATAGCAACGGTAAAAACAATTAAATGGCAAACATTGACAGGCTAAGTAGGCTTGACAAGCAAAAAATAAAAATAACAACAACAACATCAACAAAAACACTAAAAAACAAACAACAACGGCACCAATATCACCACAACAACAACAACAAACAAACAAACAATAAACATACAAACCAGACTGATCCTAACCTTTTCAAAGAAAATGAGTTAAACGCGTTGCTGGGTACGGATCAGTGGTAAAAATTAATAATACAGACGAAACATGCACATTGAACCCAGAACAAAGAACATAAAACAAAGACGCGTCAACAGCATCGGATTATGACGTCAACAACATCAAGCGATGACATCACCACCAACTGCAACATCAAACGATGTCATCATCATCAACAGCAACAACAACAACAACAAAAACAACAACAACAACATCAAACAACAACAATGATGACATCACCAACAACATAATCGAAAACGTCACCACGTTAGCGAACGAACGAAATACATAAACAAGAACATTAATGACGTCATTAATGCATCATTAGCATATCAATAACTACATTAGAAATGACTTTATTGAAACATTAAAAAACCTTGATAGCAGTGAGTAGAGGAGAAAAATAACCATATCTCAATTTTTATCAGAAAACGGTAAAAAATTACACTAAATTGACTTTGTAACACTTTTAAATTTCTTGTTTCGACAATGGAAAAATTTGTCAACCAGACGTCAAATAAACCAAAAACAACAACATCCGCAACAAATAAATGAATGAACAACACACACACACATTTAAAAACACAAAAAAAAACAAGAAGTGATCCAAATATTCCATTAAAAAAGAGAACACCATCCCAACAACTCAACCAGCACAACAACAAAAGAGTGTAACGCTGAGAAGATTGTAGGTAACATTAAAAAGAATAAATGCACTACAACACAACAACGCCCAACAACAAAACATCAACAAACAGTGTGAAAACAACAAAAAAGACACCTAGTCAACATCAGATCAAATAAAACAACAAAAAACAACAAATGGAATAAACTGAAGATGGGAGAAAGCAAAGTAACTAAAGACGACATCAACAAAAACAGCCACAAACAAAAAATACATAATAAACAAAAACATCAACAACAACAACAACATTGCAGCGACAAAAACACGACAACAAAACAAAAACCGCAACAACAACAACAACATAGCAACAACAACAAAAACAAAGCAACATAACAATAAATACACACCGACAACACAACAACAAAAAAAAACCGCAACAACAACATCAACAAAATGACATCAACAAAAACATCAACAACAACAGCAACGTCGACTCTCGATGACACAGCTAAGTGATTTAAGATCAACCCCCACACGACCAGAGCGCGTACGTGTAGAAGGGAGACTTATTAATATTCATGAGGCTTTATGCTAATTACATTTATGCTAATGTCTTAGGCCATTAATACACTCGTGGGCTAGCGGACATCACATTAATTATTAATCAATCATCCGAATGTCCATTAATTATTGTTTGCGGTGAATTTTAAATTGTAAATATTATAGAAGTTTGTTAATTAATTTTTAGCGGTAAAATTTGTGCTGGTAAAATGAAAAGAAAAAGAATAAACAACACACACACACACACATTCACACATACATTTACACGCACACAAACACAGACACAGAGAAAGAGAGAGAGAGAGAGAGAGAGAGAGAGACACACACACAAAGACACACAACGATCATAGCAGTATATTTTTGATTGATCACCAAATGAACAATCACTCCAATGTCCAACTCATCAATGATATCCATGAATGTATGCACGAACGATGCACAAACACATACACACACACACGCACGAACACACACGCACGAACACACACGCACGAACACACACGCACGAACACACACACACATATACGTTTGTCATGTATGAATGATTATTTATTATTCATGAGCAAAATTTTTTCTTTCTAGCCAAAAATAATAAAAGATAGATCTGTGAAAAGGATACGAGGAGGCG